TCTCCGTGAGTTTTGATCGATAGCATCGCATTCCTTGTCTCGATAGCTAACATCTGCCTAGCTCGTACGATATTTTACCCTAAAGACACCTTTCTATAGGTTGTATCCATCTGGCTTTGCTAACATCTGTCTAGTCATCCTAAACTCGATTGGAGTCACATCAGTCACGAACCAGACCTTGATTTCGGCTTGCCTGAACGTCTGGAACCTGCTGTGGGCAATCGCTGCCGCCACCAGCGTCGACAAGCTGGGTCGCCGTTTCCTGTTCTTGACTTCTGCCAGCGTCATGTTGGTGAGCTTCATCATCATTACTGGCCTCAGTGGTTCTTTCGCCACGACCCAGTCATCGGCCATCGGATCTTCGGTCATCCCATTCTTGTTCATCTTCTTTGCTGGATACGACATCGCCATGTAAGTTTATGTCTTCTGAGCCTATATAGAGCCAATCTCGAACTCGCGAGAATTGCGCGGTCTTCCCAAGAGAACACTCACTTACATGACACTAGGACTCCCTTCCTCACGGCCTACCCTTGCGAGATTTGGCAGTTCAGCCTCCGATCCCGAGGTCTCACCGTCACCTGGTGCTCAACCGTCATCGCTATCTTCATCAACACTTTTGTGAACCCCATTGCACTGGAGGCTATTCACTGGAAGTACTACATTGTATTCATCGTGATGCTCGCTCTCCTTTGGATCACCGTCTTCTTCGCCTACCCCGAGACTCGCGGACACACCCTGGAGCAAATGGCTGTCATCTTTGACGGTGATGATGCTGCGGTGCCTCCTGCGGCTGCTGTGAGTGAGAAGACTGAGGCTTTGGTCACTCATGGAGATGGTGAGGATAAGAGACAGTACCAGAGCGATGCTGAACACAGAGTTTGAGGCATTGCAATTCGCAAAGCAAGGAGCGTTGAAGCTTCAAAGTGAATACCCATGTCGCATTTAGTATAGTAATAGTACTATGTAATGCATCTAATCCAAAGATTCATCGTTACATTTATTTCTCATACGCAGCTTTGCAATGCGTTTAAGTGTTATCCCCTGATATTGGTTCATGATGCAAGTTCGATGTTGGGTTCCCGGCCCATGTTCTGATATCAACCCTGTTGAAGAGTAGAGACCAAGTAGCTGTGACAGTCAGAAATAATGGAGAACACACAAGCTATCGTGCCAATTATGGTAAGTGACTATTGGCTTGGATGCAGCGTGACAAGCGACGCTATTGGTGCATCATGCATGTTACCTGCATGACTAGGATTCACGACACTCAGCTGGGTCCTCAAAGTCAAGCACCCAGCCCAAGCAGCATAACCGTTGATTATCGTACGTGTTCCGCCTACTTTTCAGTCCGCTCTGCTGCTCTTTGGCAGGGAGCTCCACGACGAGCACGATATCTGAAGCGGACTTGCAGGTCACCAAGAATTCCAGGTAGCAGGTTCACCACGCAGCATGTCCATCCGGCTCATCGATACGGAGACTCTCCGGTTGAGGCTCTTTACCGCCAGTTTAGCGCCAGGTTATGCTATTCTCTCGCATACATGGGGCGAAAATGAGGAGATCAGCTTCCAGGAATTCACGCAAATTAGTGAAACGCCAGATCACAAGGCATCGCGGAAGTCTGGCTATGAGAAGATCGTCGCAACATGCCGCGAAGCCAAGGCCAACGGCATGGCGTACGCATGGATCGATACCTGCTGCATTGACAAGACGAGTAGCGCCGAGCTTGGCGAGGCGATCAACTCCATGTTCGGCTGGTATCGTGATGCCGAAGTATGCTACGCCTTCCTCTCAGACTGGCCAGCTGCCGGTGATGACGGTGAGTCTACCGACGATGCGTTGAAGGACTGCAGATGGTTCACCCGCGGCTGGTGTCTCCAGGAACTCATTGCGCCAAGGGTTCTCCGATTTTACGACGCGAAGTGGAACTTCCGAGGACACAGATCAAACTTCAGGGCCGCCATCTCTAGCATCACGCGGGTGGACGCGGACGTACTAGGGGACTGCACACTCCTTGAGTCGAAGCCGGTGGCGCGTAGGATGTCGTGGGCATCGAGACGGACTACAACGAGGGTTGAGGATATTGCCTACTGTCTCATTGGAATCTTTGACGTCAACATGCCGATGCTATATGGCGAGGGCGATAGGGCATTCCTTCGTCTGCAGGAGGAGATCATCCGGCGTTCAAACGACATTTCCATATTCTGCCACGCGCCGCTGCGCCCCGAATCAACGGCAAGATTTAAAGGGGAAGAAAACATGCCGCAAGATCTTTCAGACCTTCATTTCTGCGACATGCTCGCCAAGTCTCCAGAAGCATTTTCGGAATCCAACAGTATCTCGCGTATTAGAGGGACGTTGCTGGACGGACGAGAGTTTTCCATGACCAATCGCGGGATCCGATTCGGCCGGCGACGGTTTTTCGAGGTTCCGGAGATCAACTGCCTGGGAATGAAGCTTGACTACGCTGCTTCGCCAAATTGCAAGAACCCAGAGATATTCAATGTTTTCCTTCGGAAAGTCGGCCCGAATCTATTCTCAAGAGTACTGCCTATGGCAGCAAAGTATCGACACACGCGTGTGGAATTGAATGACGCCCGGAGAACTATGTTGGTAGAGGAAGACGCCTGCGTGATCTCTAGAGTGACACCGTCTATTCAGAAGCAGATACAAGAGTCCGTTACCAGGAGAGTAGATGTATATCTACAGATATTACAGAACCACGAAGAGCACCTCAAGTTGCAAGTCGTGGAGGGCTTTCCCCCAGATCGTTGGGATAGTCTGAACACCAAGTTTCTAATTCCCAAGGGCGCGCCATATAGAACGAGCCTGCGGCTTAGAATAACCTTGGGACAAAGCCACAATGATGTCTATCTCACCTGTGGTATTCCAAGCACCGGTGGAAGGGACGGACGCAAACAGCCATGGACTGCATTCTCTACCTCTGATTGTAGACAGTTATGGTACAGCGGCAATTGTGGAGATGATGATGAAAGTGAGATGGCGCAAGCAACTGCCCAGTACCTTACAAGCAACATGAAGGCATCAGTCGTGGCTCGGATCTGTCAGGAACCTAGGAACGTATGGGGTTCCATGCCATTCACGTGTAAAATCGAGGCTTATCTGACGCTGTAATTTGGCCGAGCGCAAATTCGACTTCTTTTTGCATCTTCCATTTGGGAAGTAGCGAAGTTGACTTGCTGGATGAATACCTGCTGTCTGGTAGCATCGATAAAACAGTCTTCCTGGTATCTGATTCATAGTCCACATGAAGTCATCGGCTACTTGCATGCATCACTACTCACTTTTGACTTGCAAGATGTACTATTTAAACTATCTCAAGCCCTCTGTCTTTGCGACAGCCGTTTTAGCCGCTTGCTGCAGAGCATCCCCAAGGTCCTTGGGCATACTGAGGAACGGTGAGTGGCTGGCCGAAAGGCTAGCCGTGAAGGAGCTGGGAGAAAATTGAGAAGCCATCATGATCTGCAGATCAAGCGGTATGGCTTGGTCATTCTCAGCAAAGATGTAACCCATCTCAAATCCTTCGTTCCAAGGTTCGAAGCCGGATTTGTCTTGAAAGGTCTTGAAAGGCTGGGGACGTAGGGCCTCGACGGCCTTGGCGGCGAGAGCGGGCTCGACATCGGCATAGAATACAGAGATCGGATTGAGAGGTGAGATAAAGCCGTCCTAAGAGGTGAGAGTGATGAGCTAGTGTCTCTGACTTTCCGGAACCTGCATGTGAATGTTGTCCCACCTTGACGTCCCACCAGGGCACTGAGCCCGCGCCGTCGGAAAGAGCTGACCCGGCACCAATGGCAAAAGAGGTCATGTACACGACCATGAGAACGCCGCCAGTCTTGCTCTGCGCAACTCGATCTTTGTAGTTGAAACCCTCTACCGCGTTCGCAGTAGGGACACCGCCATAGGAATGCGCAACCACGACAACCTCACGCCCGTCGTCGATGAGCTTCTGTAGCTCGGTGCGGACGGCTGCCGTGTCTTGTTCCAATCCCACGTTCACATCGGTGCTACCCACGCCGGCCAGTGTAACTGTTTCAGTACTGAACCCCCGGCCGTGGAGGTCATCGCGCAAAAGGTCAAAAGACCATGGGCGATGCCAGGCGCCCGGTACCAGAAGGAAAGTGGGAGGTGTACGAGAACTCATTGCGTCGATGATGATTGCGGTCTCAAGGAGTTGATCTAGGTTGAAAAGGGTCCGGCTGAACTTGATGGTGAGTGAGAGAGAGAACTGAGATGAGGAAGCTTGATCGGGTAAGAGACCTTGATCAGGGGAACACCATGTTACTTATTATTTCATTGGGCTGGGAATTGAATTTGGAAGGTGTTTAACCCCTGTTTCTTTAGTAGGCGGGATATGAACCAGAGACCGGCGATATTGGGGCGCATTTACGTCCAGATGGGCCCTATTTCGTGGGAACTGAGCTAGGGCACCTGGTAAGTTAGCTTAGTTGTGTTGGTTGGTGACTTGAAGTGGATATCGCACGACTCAAGCAAGCTACAGTGACATTCCAAGGGCGGCCCAAAACATGCCATTTTTTTTGCACTACGGCCAACTCTTAGGGTCCTTGTCACAATTTCCTCCAAGTCCAATTGGTGATACTTGACGAGTAAGACGAATGCCAACCAGTCGTTATGTGGACCGGTGGGTTGATGTTCCAACGGATGGTGTAATAGGTAATCGGTGGTCCCAGGTTGTGCCCGGATCGTGGAGAAATCAATCTCGATTTTGTACCTGGCGGCCCCAGTTTCCGGGCGCAAGAACCAGGGCCAAGAGCCTAGTTCTGTTGCATCTTACTGTTATGAATCGAACCGAGTTATTGGCCAGCATGGAACGGCAAGTCTCGGTTTCCGGCTGGTCACACATAAACATGGCCATTGTCTGGTTCGGGCACCCAAGAAAATGTCTGAAAGTCTAACCTGACAGATGTCTGTTCTTTCTTTTCCAGCCCAGGCACGGAATTCTTCACAGAGCCAGAGGCAAGATGGCCTCTCTGCCAGTTCCGGATGGCATAGATCTCAGCGAGTCCAGAGTTGCTAGCATCATTGGTGCTCTCAGTTGCACGTGGGCACTCGCAGCCATCGCAGTTGCGCTTCGGTTTCTTGCCCGACGAATACAATCCAACAAGCTTTGGTTGGAGGACTGGCTGATCACTGTTTCCTTGGTATGCAACGAAAATTCATGCTTTTTTGAATTTTTCCTTTCTATTTTACGATAATAGTGCACGAAGGCAATGCATGCTCGCTGACAAACCAATTTCAGACGGCAGCAGCTGTGCACGTTTTTATAAGCATAGGATACAGTAAGTCAACTCCATGAAGTTCGAAATCACAATTCAATTATCAAGAGCCCGAGTTCTACTACATTCCATTACCGATAGTCTGATTCCTTTGTAGTGATTCCGAATGGTACCGGTAAACACATTTGGGTAGCGCCAACCTCGGCGACAAGAGCGTGGGCAATTGGTCTTTTCGTATCAGAAGTAGCGTACACAGTGACGTTATCAACAGTCAAGTGGTCGACATTGGCGCTCTACTGGCGAATTTTTAATGCCCGTAAAAGCATCAGATATTACATCTGGGCTATGACCGGCATCGTCTTAGCTTGGTTCATTGCTGTTGTATGTTGAAAGACCTCGACTCCGAATGCAGTCTAGGTGTTTGAAGATCTCTGGGAACTTCACTAACAAAGCTCGCAGATTCTCGTCACGATCTTCCAGTGTCTCCCTGTTCATGCCTTCTGGGCACGCTACGACACAGTCAACCCTCTGTCGTCTGATCAATACACATGCGGTGTAGATGTCAAGATGTTCTTCAAGGGAAACTCTATTCCCAATATTATAACGGATGCACTAGTTGTGTTATTACCTATCCCCTATGTGTGGAAGCTACAGCTGCACAAAGCACAGAAGTTTGCCCTTGCAGGTATCTTTGCGCTCGGCACTTTGTGAGTAAATTGACAGTCTGTAATATCTTTAGAGGAAGCAACAGCTGCTGACGAAGTTGAACAGCGTTACCGTAGTTTCTATGGCCCGGTTAAATGTGATTCTTTTAGTCGACCTCACATCACCGGACATTACCTGGAATTTCATCGACACCATTATCTGGACTAATGTCGAAGCCAACACGGCTATCATCTGCGGTAGGTCCTCTCGTCTCGCGGTCAGCCCAAAATTTCATAATGGGATTGATTTAACTGATACATAAATTGCCGAGCACTAGCCTGTCTCCCATGCCTAAAACCGATTCTCAACCTCGCGCTCAACGGCAGACTGAAATCTTCAATCAAACGGAGTGGCCAGAACTCTGGCGGACAATACATACTCAACGACCGTACGAAGCCCAGCACAGCAAATGGAAGCAGTTATCTAGGAGGCTCCGGTACTGGAGCGATGCGGAAAGGGGTTGGCGGCGGTGCCGAGGACGAGCGCCCCTTTACTCGACTGAGTGAACGTGATTCTGAGCCAAGTATCGATATCGCCAATGATGACGGGGGCAGCGGACATGGAAGTTTGAGCAAAGCGGGAGTAACGATAGATACTCAGGGTGCGAGCGGGCAACCGGCTTCATAATTATCGTCACATTTAGCTTCAATTAAATCTTTAGTGAAGGTTTGCAAAGCAAGTCTGTTTTCGAGAGAAATGCTACTACGTGTAAGACGAGTTGCTCAATCAACGTCTCACAACGTATCCTCGACGAACACCATTTAGTCCGGTGGGTTCGATGTCGTCCCCATGCCAGATGGATGCAGGGTATTGGTCATGATCCTTGCTCTGATGTGAGCCCCAGTGGGAGAACCCAATCGAAGTTATCGAACGACAAAAATGGGGCGATAATGTTATAGGCATGTCTGCTGGTTTGCATGCTGGACATTATTCCCCTCACTTCAACATCCCTTGCGTTGAGCGAGATATCCTGGACAGACTCTATATCTTAACCCTTTCGCACAACCCACAACTCACAATATGACAGACGGGCGCGTCGGCAAGGCAGTCGCTGCAGAAGCGACTCCTGAAGTTCCTCTGACAACTGAAAATGCCGGGAATGCTACTCAACCAATAACACCGGTATCGCCGGCTGCTGCCGCATCATCACCAGCCGCGACAGTGTCACCAGCTGCAGCGATCGTGGCTGAAGAAGATCCGGACCCATCCACTGATGGATACGAGGCTGGCAGCGACGGCAATTCCAATGCCTCGACTTCATTGTCTTCGAGTGTTCGTGACTATGAATGGGAGAATAAGCGTCGCTACCACAAGTTCAAGCAAGGCCGATACCTATGTCCAAACGATGAGCCTGAGCAGGATCGCGAGGACATGAAGCACGCTTTGGTGGTTCATATATGCGACGGAGACTTACACAGTGCGCCTCTAGGTAATCCGCAAAAAATCCTTGATATTGGTACCGGTACTGGCATTTGGGCGATCGATAGTACGTGAAGAGACTTCTCTACTGTATACAGAACGGCATTAGCTGACTAGATGAAAGTGGGCGACAACTATCCAGAAGCAGATATCGATGGGATTGACCTGAGTCCTATTCAACCCGGCTTTGTACCGCCGAATGTCAGGTTCCTGGTCGATGATGCAGAGGCAGACTGGCTGTATCCGGACAACTCAGTTGATTTCATCCACCTGCGGCACATGGCTCCTTTCATCAAAGACTGGCCTAGGCTTCTGCGTCAGGCATATAGGTTAGTAACCATTCATCAGGGAGACAAGTTACGAGAAATAGTGCTCAAAATAGCAGGGTATTAAAGCCGGGCGGGTGGATCGAGCTGCAAGAGCTGAGATGGAGATTCGCTTGCGACGATGACACGATGGGCCCCGACTACGCCCCAACCAAGATGGCGAACCTTATCGAAGAAGGACTCGGCAAGTTCGGCTTCGAGCTCTACGCATCGGAGACCAACCCGGAGCGTCTCAGGGCTGGTGGTTTCGTGACGCAGGTTCACGATGTTAAGAAGGTGCCATTGGGGAGGTGGCCCAAAGATGACAACCTGAAAACCATTGGCTCATATTCTCAGGCGGTCTTGTTCGATGGACTACAGGCTATTACGATGGGTCCTCTGACGAGAGGGCTGGGCTGGACTCCAGAGGAGGTCGAAGTGTTGCTGATGCAAGTGCGGAAAGACCTCCGTAATGCGGCTTTCCATACTTATGTTTACTATCACGCTTTATCTGGACAGAAGCCGGTGGAAGGAGCTTGAAAGCTGAGAGGCTCTTGGTGAAGGGTCTGTGGCTCAATTCACATATCAGTCTTTACTTCGAACTCAGCGCTGCATCGCATACAGCCAGATCGGAACTTCGAAAGTGATGGTAACTGAGAGCGCCTGAACCATCGATCATTGCTCCTGTCTGGATTAAGTGTTCACTAATGACCAGACCGCAGACGCAAGATTCATTGGTATAGTATTGATCATACATGCATTATTCGTCATGAGTCTGATCAAAATTGTGCGTCGCAGCTCAAGCGATTTCAGTATGTTCTTGATGGTACATAAAAACAGACTACCTTACGTGTTGAACGTTCTGCATGTCTACTCTTACCTCTTAGAGGCGAGGTTATGAATTCCATTCGCCCATAACTGCATCGAATTCAAGTAAGTACCTGCCTTCCTCAAATGCAAGAACAGGTTTAGTGTAAGGAAAGTGAAGTCAACTCGTGCTTTGACTTGAACAAAGCGACAGCTGAGGTACTAGCTAAAGTATCCTTACTCCACGACTTCACCCATGTTCAGGAAGAAATGTAGAAGTGCACCAAATTCTAATGATTGAATATTCAGGATATATATTTTCTTGCTTCCTGCTGCCCTAGCTCTTATCGAAAATACGATATCGAGTGTTGAGGTGCGGACCGCAAGTTGTTCCAATTGGTGTAAGTGCTTACACCCTTGCCAAAACTAGGTATTTAGCTGTGCTGGACCCTGTCGTGATAGTGTCCGTGTGGAGTACTTGCGCCCTTGTCAAACACTTGTTCGAACATCGCATCACTAGGAATCAATTTCATTTGCGTTTACAACTCGTTCGTTGTCAATAGGTGTATGACACAGGGAAGAAGCTCACAGAGGCCAACTGCTGTTAGGGTATAGAAGATGAATTACTGAAACCTGCCCTTCCCTCGAGGTGTACTACCAGCGCTCTATATATGCCTGAGCTGCTCCTTTGTTGCTTGGTCCCCCTCCTCATGCCCCTTAAGCTATCCCTTAACCGTCGAGGCCTGACATTCGTCGCTCCTTTTCGCCACCGGAGAAGGGCTGGACCCGACTTCCCGACCTTAGAGGGGATGGATCGTAGTTAAACACAAACCTCGAAAGCATCAAGAGAGGAAACATTCCCACTTGTCCACGAGTAGACGCGTTGCTTCGGCGAGTTGTAGTCCATTGAGTACCTCGAGTGTGCCTATTTCAATGTATGGGGTTCCGTTTAGCTTTTGAGCCGAGAATCGCCTTCGAGTTAAGTATATAAGGTAAGAGAGATCTTTTCACCAGAAGCAGAATTGCTAAGTTGCTCATCGTCATACCGATTTGATCTTCTAGTCTAAACTGGTTCACCGTCATCAAATCAGTCTATTAATCATGTCATGGCTTGAAAGTTAAGCTATGTTGTCGCGTCATCCCAATTGTGCACGTGGTCAAACTTGAGGTTCTTGGTGTCGCTTGATATAACTTAGTACGCCAGACTAAAGTAAATGCTCTTAACGTGAGGTAGGCTTGATATTCCGCCTAATTTAGCATCAAATTGGACTTAGGACAGACTGTTTAAGAAGATCTCAAAAATACATAAACATCTTGTTGCTACAACTTTCCAGATTTAAGTGGACGCCATCGAAACTGACCAATGACGATATTTTCAGTTCAGAAAGGCGTCGCGACTATTGCCCACCTGAGGAGGATCATGAACACCACTTCCAACAAACAGGCATGAATCAAGATGGAATATCTGTTGTTCAGTCGGGAGAGAGAGGATGCAACACGTTTGCGGAGCTCCTATGGAATTTTGTGCAGTTTCAACTGAAGAAGGACTTGGCATAGCCTTTGAATGTTGTGTACCTAAATGAGGTAGACTCTAACTGAATCCTCTCTTCAAAAAAAGGCGGATTTATATGTACATGATGAAGGGAAGTTGACTCTACTGAACCGCGAAGACAAAATAATTCAACCACCGCCGGTGAAAGGCTCAGCTCGTGTACAAACAACTCCAAAACTCCCACTGTCTAGAATGGTATCTCTTAACCCTACCGCTATTCCAATATGTACAAAATGAAAAGAGAATTTGAACTTTAGAAATGCCAAAGGTTGGCTAAAAACAACGCTGTTGCCAAGCTGAAAAGCCGCCACATTTGATGACGGCATTTCAGCCCAGATAGAATGTGTAAGTGTGTGTGGGGCAACGCCGGACCCTCAGACTATTGCCCAAGCTGCGGCCAAGATCAACACGAGCGCCGAGGACTTGGTGACAAGGCCGCCGAGCAACTTGGCACTCGCATCGCTGGTCTTGACCGCATTGCAAGATAACGCTGAAAGCTTCCCCTCAGGATCGGGCCAGGTCCCGTTCTGGCAATTTGCACGAGTGAGCATCGCCGCCTTGACCTGCGTCTCCAGAGCCGCGTCCATCTTGATTTCACAGGCCTTAGACGCGGGCTCCTTGTCCGATACTACGGGGCAGATATCGCCATAGTCGTGGCTGTTGCCTGTGATTTGGAAACTGCCGACAAAGTCGGGGCAGGAAGTCGTGTCGACAAGAGAGGGGATCTGTCCGTTGGGATCGGTTGTGAAGAAGGCGGTGCCGTTGTACGAGACGTCGTAGACTTTTGACGACGGGCCCTCGCCAGTAACGTTCTTTGGACAAGCGCTGAACATGGTCGCCGTGTATCGTAGGCGGAACTCCCGCTGCGTCGCGTTGACCAGGTCTCTCCGGGAAGCGTCGATGATGGTATATGTATCAGCGGTTTTGTTCTTGGCCTCGGTTTGCCAGACGCCCGAGCTGAAGAGCTGCCCCGTATCCGCATCGTTGATATCGGTGTACCCCGTGAGATCCCACTTCACCCAAAAGTTGTAAAAGTTCTTTTCGTCAGACTCTGGCCAGAGCTTTGAGGCGTTTTGAACGGCGAAGACAAATGGAAAAGGCCAGACGGGCTTGTAGGTGCTGCCATTGCGCGGGAAGATAAGGTCAACTTCGACGGAAGCCGTGGGCGTCGTTGTTATCGTCGCCGCAGAGCTGAAACCCGTAAAAAATGTCAATAGCTGCAGCGAGCGGCTGAGTGAGACGTGCATGGCCAATTCTTTTGATGTGTGATGTGGTTTGTCTTTCAAATTTCAGAGAGAGTGTGACATGCCGTCGGGGGAACACAAGTTCAGATAAAGGAACCAAAAACGTGGGAATGTCGTCCTTCGGAAAGTAAATATAGATCGTCCAGGCACCCCGAGTTACCCAAGGGGGCTGATCGTCATTTACATGACATGTCACCACCGGGCTGCGGCACGGCCGCACCGGGGGTGGAAACTGGGGCCAGGGTTACCCGGGATGGGTTGCTGAAGTTTACGAAGACAACCTTTCCGATTTTCCGTGTCAAGAAAACTTAATTGAGAAGCGGAGTGATTATGAGTGGACAAGACCGCCGTGTTTGCGGGTTTTCGTACAAAGATGCAATTTCAAACTAGAGACTCGGCGAAGAGCCTCTGGCGCCATCAGCTAAAGCCCAAAGTACCTAGTTTAGTGTTAAATAACTCGTTTTTGGCTTTTAAATCGCAAAGCTTGGTCACGATACCAAGAGAGTGAGTAAGGCAGAGCTTTTTTATTGGTTGCGATTGCATCACCAGTAAGCCCACACAGGGGTCGCAAGCCACGCGCAGTTAGCGTGTAAGTCGGTGCTCGTATCGGGCTCTCGATATGTCCATCTTACCCTTGACGGTTCGTTCCTTTTGCCCATCCGTCATTTGTCTAAAGCTGATCCCGCGAATCCTTCACTCCGTTGACAGCCTTCACAATACTGGAGTTGATCCTTCAATTATCGCTAGCGCCAAGGCGTACATGGTCTAGTGCTGACCCTACCAAGCAACACGGCCACACTTGATTTGGCCAAGATACGGGTCTTTGGCTCGTGTGCCTGGCGGTTTGGCGGAATTCCATTACCAGCCTAGAGCAAAAGAAATCACAAAGTGTCGAATACCAGATTACGTCAATAACGAAGGAGTTTTGGTTTGAGATTAACAAAACGAATTGAGTTTAGCTACAGGCATCGTGCCTGATTGCGGCTCTACAAAGCCCCGCGAGCAATCTTCTCGCTTTTCTCGCTTTCCCCAAAGGCCCACAACTCGAAAAGATGACTCAACCGCCCACAAGACTACTTCCTCCAGATTAAAGAAAACATATAAACAAAGAAAGCTAAAGAGGCTTCGACGAACGTTCTGCAACGGCGCGACAACAATGTCTCACGTCTACAGGCATTAAGCGGCATCTGGAGCCGGAATGCCCCACACAAACGACAGCGCGCTGCCCACAACGTGGGTTCCGTCAGACCACACGAGTCTGCCCCAGGAAGTAGCGTCGGCGGTGGGCGGGGAGCTCATCGTGACAGTCAGCTCGAACGTCTTCTTCTCTCCAGCCGCCTCAAAAGTGAGAGTCTCGGGCGTCACAGAGGCTTTGACCAAGTCAGCATCGTTGAGAGAAATGTCGGCTTTGTACGTGCCGGCACCTCCGACGTTGGTCACGGTGCGCTTGAAGGTGGCGGTGTAGGATCCGCCGGAAGCAGCGGCGCTATCGTACAGGGCAGAGAAGGACGGGTAGTTGAGGTCGTAGACGCTGTAGGTCTGGTTGGACGCGCAGGTGAAGTTGCTCCTGGTGATGGCGGTCGTGAAGGCGACGGTCGAGTTGACGGCGCAGAGCCAAGGGAGGTAGTCAGTGGGTGCGATGTCGTAAACGAGACCCGGGTTCAGGGCGGCGACGGGGTCCACGTGGCCGTTTCCGTAGAGGAAAGGAGTCGCGGCCTTGGAGTCGGAGGAGTCCAGCAGGGGGGTCTTGGCACCCTTGGTATTGGTGTAGGCGGTTGTCATCATGGCTGAGCGGATGGCGGCCGGGCTCCATTCCGGACGGCGGGCCATGATCCAGGTTGCAAGACCGCTCAGGTGAGGGCATGACATGCTCGTACCTGAGATGACGTTCTGGTCGACCTTGCGGGTATCAATATCAAGACCGGTAGGTCCAGTGC